TTCTTGGTTCATTGCAACCTCCATCTCCTGTGTTCAAGTGATTCTCCCACCTCAGCCTCCTGAGTTGCTGGAACTACAGATGTGTGCCACCATGCCTGGCTAATTTTTGTATTTTTTGGTGGAGATGAGGTTTCACCATGTTGGCCAGGCTGGTCTTGAACTACTGACCTCAAGTGATCCACCCACCTCGGCCTCCCAAGGTGTTGGGATTACAAGCGTGAGCCATCACCCTGGGCCTTAATTTTTATTTTAAATTCAGGGGTGCATGTGCAGGATGTGCAGGTTTGTTACACAGGTAAATGTATGTCGTGGGGGTTTGTTGTACAGATTATTTCATCACCCAGGTATTAAGCCTCGTATCCGTTAGTTATTTTTCCTGGTCCTCTTCCTCCTCCCGCCTTCTACCTTCTGATAGGCTCCAGCATTTGTTGTTCCCCTCTGTGTCCATGTGTTCTCAGCATTTAGCTCCCACTTACAAGTGAGAACATGCTGTATTTGGTTTCCTGTTTCTGCGTTAGTTTGCTAAGGATAATAGCCTCTGGCTCCATTCATGTCCCTGCAAAGGACATGATTTTGTTCCTTTTCATTGGCTGCATACTATTCCATGTTTTGTGATTTTTCAGACTTCTGTCTTGTTGCTTCCCATCCTCACCAGCATTTAGTGCTTTCGATATTTTGGATTTTAGCCATTTTTATTTTTTTTTATTATTATTTTTTGAGACGGAGTCTCAGTCTGTTGTCCAGGCTGGAGTATAGTGGCACGATCTTGGCTCACTGCAGCCTCTGCCTCCCAGATTCAAATGATTCTCCTGTCTCTGCCTCCTGAGTAGCTGGGATTACAGGTGTGTGCTACCACGGCCAGCTAATTTTTGTATTTTTAGTAGAGACGGGGTCTCACCATGTTTGCCAAGCCCATCTTGAACTCCTGACCTCAGATGACCCAACTGCCTCGGCCTCCCAAAGTGCTGGGGTTACAGGTGTGAGCCACTGTGCCTGAATGGATTTTAGCCATTGGAAAAGGAATTTGCAGTCCCTAATGATGTATGATGTTGGGCAAGGTTTCAAATGCTTATATTCCATCTGTATACCTTCTTTGGTGAGGTACCTGTTCAGATCTTTTGCCTTTTTGAATTGGGGGGTTGTTTTCTTATTTTCGAGTTTCAAGGGTTATATATTTTGTGTATCAGACCTTATCACTTATGTTTTGCAAATATTTTCTCCCAGCCTGTGACTTTTTCATTCTTTCTTTCTTAAAGCTTCTTAACAGACCTTTCACAGAGCAGACCTTTTTTAATTTTAATGAACTCCAATTTAATGGTTTTGTTTTGTTTTTTTTGTCCAGATAGAGTTTCGCTCTTGTTGAGCAGGCTGGAGTGCAGTGGCGTGATCTCGGCTCACTGCAACCTCCGCCTCCCGTATTCAGGTGATTCTCTTGCCTCAGCCTCCCCAGTAGCTGGGATTACAGGCATTCGCCACCATGCCCAGCTAAATTTTAATGGTTTTTATTGAAATCCAATTTATTGGTTTTCTTTTATATTTAAGTTGTTATCCATTTTATTTTTGTGAAAAGTGTAAAGTCTGTGTCTAGAATTATTTTTTTATATGTGGGTATCCATTTGTTCCAGTAACATGTTGAAAAGACTATCCTTTGCTCCTTTGTCAAAGGTCATTTGACTATGCTTGTAATCTGTATTAGTTCCTAGGACTTCCATAACAAAGTATCACGAACTGGGTAGCTACAGAAGTTTGTTGTCTCACAATTCTGAAGGTGAGATGTCCAAAACGATTTCAGCAGGGCCGTTCTCCCTCTGAAGCCTGTAGAGGAATGATCCTTCCTTACCCCTTCTGGCTTCTGGTGTTTGTTGGCAATCCTTGGCATTCCTTGGTTTGTAGATGCATCACTCCAGCCACATGGTCATCTTCTCCTTGTGTATCTTCTTATCACGTCCCCTCTGTACATGTCTGTCTTTCGTTTTGAGCTGGCAACATTTTTTGCTAAGATGGTTGCCTGAATCTAGTCACACACCTAATCTCCAACAAACTCTTGCCCACCCCATACCCTTTTCTCTACAGAGCATACATTCTTGTTTTTTTTTGCAATATGGATAGAGTGAGAATTTTCTGAATTTTCAAGTTCAGATTCTTTATTCCTTTTTGTTTGATAGTTCTTGCCTCAATATATTTCTCTCCTTGCATCATTTCACTATAAGCAGCAGGAAAAGCCCAGGCTGTTCCTTCCACACTTTGCTTAGAAATCTCCTTAGCTAAAACCCAAGTTCATTGCTTCCAAGTTCTGCCTTCTGCGCAACAGAACACAATTCTAAGTTCTCTGTCACTTTATAACAAGAATAACCTTCCCTGCCGGGCACAGTGGTTCACACCTGTAATCCCAGCACTTTGGGAGGCCGAGGTGGGTGGATCACCTGAGGTCAGAAGTTTGAGACCAGCCTGGCCAACATGGTGAAACCCTGTGTCTACTAAAAATACAAAAATTAGCCATGCGTGGTGGTGCAAGCCTGTAATTCCAGCTACTTGGGAGACTGAGGCAGGAGAATTGCTTGAACTTGGGAGGCGGAGGTTGCAGTGAGCCAAGATGGCGCCATTGCACTCCAGCCTGGGTAACAGCAAGACTCCATCTTAAAAAAAAAAAAAAAAAAAAAACCTGTCCTCCACTTTCCAATAACTTGATCCTCATTTCTGACTGAAACCTCACCATAAGTACCTTAAGCACCTTTAATGCTCATATGCTTTAGCAGCAGTTTCTTCTCGGCCTTTTCTATCAAGCACCTCAAAAGTCTTCCACCCTCCACCTGTGACCCAATAACAAAGCTACTTACATATTTTTAGATTTTTTTTTTTGTTTTTTTACGGCAGCATTCACTTTCTGGTATGAAACTCTAATGGCTGTATATTGTCACATTATGTGAATATACCGTAATTTTTTATTATTATTATTTATTTTTGAAATGGAGTCTCACTCTGTTGCCCAGGCTGGAGTGCAGTGCGTGATCTTGGCTCACTGCAACCTCCACCTCCCAGGTTCAAGAAGTTTCCCTGCCTCAGGCTTCTGAGTAGCTGGGACTACAGGTGTGTGCCACCACACCTGGCTAATTTTTGTATTTTTAGTAGAGATGGGGTTTCACCATGTTGCCCAGGCTGTTCTCAAACTCCTCACCTCAAGTGATTCACCAACTTCTACCTCCCAAAGTGCTGGGATTATAGGCATGAGCCACCGTGCCTGGCCATATATCATAATTTTTAAAAACAGTCTCCAGTTTTTGAACAGTTAGGTTTCTAGATATTATTTCATTATTTTTTTCCTTTCCTTTTTTCTTTTTTGAGACAGTGTCTCGCTCTGTTGCCCAAACTGGAGTGCAATGGTGCAATCTTGGCTCACTGCAACTTCTGCCTCCTGGGTTCAAGTGATTCTTGTACCTCAGCTCCCCCAAGTAACTGGGATCACAGGTGTGTGCCACCACAGCCAGCTAAATTTTTTTCTGTTTTTTAAGAGGTGGGGTTTTGTCATGTTGTCCAGGCTGGTTGGTCTCAAACTCCGGACTCAAGTGATCTGCCCACTTCGGCCTCCCAGAGTACTGGGATTATAGGCATGAGCCACTGCACCTGGCCTATTTCATTATTAAAAGAAGATTGTGATAACATTTCTTGTGCATTGTTACCTTTAATACTTTTACCTTATAATAAATTCTAGAAATGGAATTGTTTGTCCAAGGGTATGTAAACTTTAAACATTTGGGTACGTGTTTAGTATCAGACTGTTACTCCTAATCCGGGTTGTTAACATCAAGGCGACTTTTCATCATGGCATACCATTCTTGCATTAAGAATTATTAGTGGGAGATATGATTGAATTTGACTTAATTGATTTCAAGTTGTAGATCACTGTTTCTGAAACCTGATCTTATGGTGTATATAAGTTTGTGGAAACCCCTTCCATATTCTTATATGTGCTCTTATTATATGCTTTTGCAGAAGCTTGCTTGGACGTTTTAGTGTGGAGATCAGGGTATGCCGTGGACTAGGGGAGGAAATATTTGTTGTTTTGTGGACTCACTATTATGGAAAGCCCCGAAGACTTCTTTTGCTTCTTGTTTGTAATTGGTGTACAGCTCTAGTCATCTTCATTAATGTAAGCTAGATCCGTAAATGCTTTCAGAAGTAATTGTTTCGTCAGTTATTCTAGCTAAACAGGGTTTTCTCACCTAGTTATGATTATATACTTTTGAAATAAAAATGCTTGTGAAAATATTTGAACTTTTTCATTTAGATGAAACATTCTACTTTAATACATTTTGTTAGCAAGTATCTTGTGTTAGTAACCTAAGTCTTATTAATAATCTAAAATGTATGTAGTGTTTTGAGACTTTCAAATTATACATATATGTATAATGTAGATCAGGCTGGGCGGGATGGCTCACAGATGTATTCCCAGCATTTTGGGAGGCCAAGGGAGGAGGATTGCTTGAGGCAGGAGTTCAAGACCAGACTGAACAACATAGCAAGATCCTGTCTTTACAAAAAATTTTTTTAAAAAAATTAGGTGGGCGTAGTGGCATGTGCCTATAGTCCTAGATACTTGGGGGAGGCTGAGGTGGGAGAATCCCTTGAGCCCAGGAGTTCACTGTTGCAGTGAGCTATGATCACATCATTGCACTCCAACCTGGGCAACAGAGTGAGACACTGTCTCTAAAAAGAGTTAAAAATAAAATGTAGATCTTTAGTTAACAGTGCTGATTTACAATGCTGTAATCGTGTAATAAGCATCATAGAGAATATAAAAGAACAGCATGGCCTTTCTAGCCAAAATTTTACATTGCAGATGGGAATGTACAGTATTCACAATCAGTGTGTTTACAAGGCTCTGTATAAGCAAGTTTATATTAATAAAATTTGATTCTAGCAATATGATCTCATTAGCCATGGTAATTTGAAGGAGGAAGAATTTACCTGAAATATTTTAATTCATTGTCTCCTCATTTTAGGTTTACAGTTTAAAGACAGTTTCTGTGATTGAGTGGTCATTTGGAAGATTAAACTCATTTCACGAGGACTTGGAGCCTGGTCCTTGCTTTGAGGAAGCAGTGGCTTGTTTCAAGAAGCCACTTCTGATCTAAGAATCTACCCAGCATGCCTAATCAAGGAGAAGACTGCTATTTTTTTTTCTATTCTACATGTACCAAAGTAAGAATTGACATCTTTAAATTAGTTCTTTCTACAATTTGCTTAATAGAATTGGATAAGATTTTCCCAACATTTTAAGTTGTTTTTAGTATATATATATTTTTTGCCCAGCTGTTTATTATTGGCTGTCAGCTTTTTAAAGGATAATGTATTTAGAATAATTCATTGTTTTTTTCTCTTCATTTTATATATAACTAATTTTCCCATCTTCTACAAAAGTGAAAAGGCGTGTGGCATGTAGTCATCATTCAGTGTTCACAGTTAATCTGTTCAGGGTGGCTTTGGAAATGGGGACACTTTGACCTATGCCTTACTAACTGATTTTATATACTTCATATTAAATGAGTGAGTGAATTGTGTTGTACTTCCAGAAACTGTCATGGGTTGAATTTGACTTCTTTCTTCTCCCAGATTTCCTGCTGAGTACTGAGAATATAGAGCCATCATTCTGAATATGCAAAAGCATATTTAGAATGGCTTTATCTTTGTCAAAACTTCTGTTTTTCTGCTTGATTCTTTTGCAGCTCTATTTACGTATACCTATTGCTTTCTGTGATTTTATGACTAATTCTATAAATGTATATGTTACAAAAGTTTGTTCTTCAGTCATCTTGATTTTTTTTGTTTTTTTTTTTTGAGACTGAGTCTGGTTCTCCACCCAGGCTGGAGTGCAGTGGCACAATCTTGGCTCACTGCAACCTCTGCCTCCCGGGTTCAAGCCATTCTCCTGCCTCAGCCTCCCAAGTAGCTGGGATTACTGGCACCTGCCACCATGCCCAGCTACTTTTTGTAGTTTTAGTCAAGATGGGGTTTCACTATGTTGGCTAGGCTTGTCTCAAACTCCTGACCTCGTGATCTGCCCGCCTCGGTCTCCCACAGTTCTGGAATTACAGGCATGAGCCACCACGCCCGGTGATACTATGTTTTAAGCGATGAGTTTTGAGCAAAGCTATGATAATTTTATCTTACCTATAGCAGTTTGCACAACAGTAGCATTTTATTTCAGATATTGCATTGCATAAAGTATGCAGTGAAGCACAGTTATATTGTATATATGTTAATTATATTTAAATTCTGTTTACTTTCTGATTTACATCACAAGCTAGAGTTACACAAATCAGTATGTCAGTTTTGAAGATGAACTGTAAAATATATTTTTAAAGAGTATCTAATACTCCTACTTGTCTTTTTCAACCCTTTGTCTCAGCTTGTGTCACTCATGCCAGATCAAATGAAGGGTACTGTCAAGAAATAGGTTATAGGAAATAATAAATTTGTTGCTCTCAGTTTGTTCCTGTCATTCCATCTCCATTGTTTTCTACCTTACCTATCCTTTCTTACTCATTTGTGCTTATCTAAATTCCAGGAGCTCTTGTTATGGATATTTTACCTAGGGTGTATTTCAGTGCTACAGTTTTTTTCTGTGCTCTCTATTTGTTTACAGGGCGACAGCTGCCCATTCCGTCACTGTGAAGCTGCACTAGGAAATGAAACTGTTTGCACATTATGGCAAGAAGGGCGCTGTTTTCGACAGGTGTGCAGGTTTCGGCACATGGAGATTGATGTAAGTTTTTGATTTCTGTTAATAAGTAGTCTGAGGACCTGGTGGGCCAATAAAAAACATAGGGACAAAAGTGACTTCTAAAAAATATATTAAGGCTGGGTGCGGTGGCTCATGCCTGTAATTCCAGCACTTTGGGAGGCCGCGGTGGGCAGAACGAGGTCAGGAGATGGAGACTATCCTGGCCAACACGGTGAAACCCCATCTCTACTAAAAATACAAAAATTAGCTGGGTGTGGTGGCGTGTGTCTATAATTCCAGCTACTTAGAGGCTGAGGCAGGAGAATCACTTGAACCAGGGAGTTGGAGGTTCCAGTGAGCTGACATTGCACCACTGCGCTCCAGCCTGGTGACAGAGCAACATTCCATCTCAAAAAATATATATGTGTATATATATACACACACATACGTGTATATATACACACACGTATATACACACATATACATACGTATATATACACATATGTGAATATATGTGCATGTGTATATGAATATATGTGTGTATATGTGCGTATACACATGTGTATATACACGTGTGTGTGTATATATCTATATATGTATATGTACGCATACATATGTGTGTGTGTGTATATATATAAAAAACTTAAGAATTTTATATATTTTGTTATAGATACGGGATTTTGCTATGTTGCCCAGTCTGGTCTCAAACTCCTGGGCTCAAGCTATCCTTACACCTCTGCCTCCCAAAGTCCTGGGATTACAGATGTGAGCCATCGTGTCTAGCCAATTTTTATTTTTTTTAATGATCCAGTGAAATTCCCAACATTACTAATGTTCACTTAATGTCTAAATGACATAAGCATAAATTGATATAATTTTTCTGGAGGATAGTTTGGTACTATCTAAGCTTTAAAAATACTTATGCGTATTTGGAGAGTATCTGTTAATTTCTTTTTATTTTTAAAAAATTGTATACTTAGAGGAAAGTTGTCAATACAGTATAAAAATGTTTAAAGCCGTGTAGGAGTAAATTACTGACATTCCCTATTACCTCCAAATACTTGATTAGTGTTTCCTACAAGCAAGTAGGACATTCTCCTACATAATCATAATACAGCTATCAAAATTAGAAAACTAGGCTGAGCATGTTGTCTAGTGCTTGTAGTCCCACCTTTTTGGGAGTCTGAGGTGGGAGGATACTTGAGCCCAAGAGTTCAAGGCTGCAGTGAGGGCTGCACCATTGCACTCCAGCCTGGGCAACAGAGCAAGACTCCCACATTTTTTTTTTTTTTTTTTTTTGAGGCAGAGTTTCACTCTTGCAGCCCAGGTTGGAGTGCAATGGCGTGATCTCCGCTCACTGCAACCTCCGCCTCCCAGGTTCAAGCGATTCTTCTGCCTTGGCCTCCTGAGTAGCTGGGATTACAGGCACCTGCCACCATGGCTGGCTAATTTTTGTATTTTTAGTAGAGACGGGGTTTTACTATGTTGGCCAGGCTGGGCTCGAACTCCTGAGTTCAGGTCATGTACCCACTTCAGCCTCCCAAAGTGCTGGGATTGCAAGCATGAGCCACCATGCCCAGCTGACTCCAATTTTTTTTTTTTTTTTTTTTGAGATGGAGTTTTGCTCTTGTTGCCCAGGCTGGAGTGCAATAGTATGATCTTGGCTCAGTGCAACCTCAGCCTCCCTAGTTCAAGCAATTCTCCTGCCTCAGCCTCCGTAGTAGCTGGGATTACAGGCATACACCACCATGCCTGGCTAATTCTGTATTTTTAGTAGAGATGGGGTGTTGCCATGTTGGTCAGCCTGGTCTCGAACTCCTGACCTCTGGTGATCCACTTGACCTCAGCCTCCCAAAGTTCTGGTATTGCAGGCATGAGTCACTGCACCCAGCCAACCCCAATAATTTTTTAAAAAAGATTAACATTGAAATATTACTGCCATTTAATCTTTTGATCTCACTCAAAGTTTGCCAGTTTTCATAATAATATCTTTTATTTTAGAAAGAGCAAGTCCAGGCTGGGCGCAGTGGCTGATGCCTGTAATCCCAGCACTTTGGTAGTCTGAGGCGGGCGAATCATGAGATCAGGAGATCGAGACCAGCCTGACCAACATGGTGAAAGCCCATCTCTACTAAAAATACAAAAATTAGCTGTGTGTGGTGGCCGGCGCCTGTAATCCCAGCTACTCAGGAGGCTGAGGCAAGAGAATCGCTTGAACCTGGGAGGCAGAGGTTGCATTGAGCCGAGATTGCACCACTCCACTCCAGCCTGGGTGACAGGGCGAGACTCCATCTCAAAAAAAAAAAAGAGCAAGTCCACATTCAAGTGTTGCGCATAGTTGTCGTGACTCTTTTTGTCTCCTTCTGTTGACAGCAGTCGCTCAGTCCTGCCTTGCGTTTCATTGGCCTTAGCACTTATGGTAGCTATAGGGAAATTGTTTTTAAGAATGTTCTTCAATTTGGGTTTGTTTGTATTCCCCCTCATTATTAAATTAAGATTATGTATCTTTAGCAGGACTATCACAAATTATATATATATATTTATTTTGAGACAGAGTCTCACGCTGTTGCCCAGGCTGGAGTGCAGTGGTGTGATCTCAGCTCACTGCGACCTCCCCTCCTGAGTTCATGTGATTCTTGTGCCTCAGCCTCTCGAGTAGCTGGGACAGCGGGCCTGCATTACCACACGCATCTAATTTTTTGTATTTTTGGTTTTTTTTTGTTTTGTTTTGTTTTGTTTTGAAACGGAGTCTTGCTCTGTCGCCAGGCTGGAGTGCAGTGGCACGGTCTCAGCTCACTGCAACCTCTGCTTCCCAGGTTCAAGCGATTCTCCGGCCTCAGCCTCCCAAGTAGCTGGGACTACCACATCAAGCTAATGTTTGTATTTTTAGTAGAGGTGGGGTTTCACCATGTTGGCCAGGAAGGTCTCAATTTCTTGACCTTGTGATCCGCCCGCCTTGGCCTCCCAAAGTGTTGGGATTACAGGTGTGAGCCACCTCGCCTGGCCTAATTTTTTGTATTTTTTAGTAGACACGAGGTTTCGCCGTGTTGGCCAGGCTTGTCTCAAATTGTTGGCCTCAAGTGATCCACCCGCCTCAGCTTCCCATAAATATTTTGTGGAGAGGTACTTTTAGACCCTTTACCCCATTTCTCATCAGACTTCAGCTTTTTCCCCGTTATTTATGTGAGTTAATGCAAACTTGTGATGATACGGTTTGGCTCTGTATCCCCACCTGAATCTCACCTCTTGTAATCCCCATGTGTTAAGGGAGGGACCTGATGGGAGGTGATTGGATCATGGAGGTGGTTTCCCCCATGCTATTCTTGTGATAATGAGTGAGTTTTCATGAGATCTGATGGTTTAAAAGTGTGGGACTCCCTTTACTTGCACTCTCCTGCTGCTTTGTAAGCCTTGTTTGTGCCTTGCGTCCTCTTCACCTCCTGCCATAGTTGTAAGTTTTGTGAGCCCTCCCCAGCCATGCAGAGTTGTGAGTTAGTTAAACCTTTTTTTTTTTTTTTTAATAAATTACCCAGTCTCAGGTAGTTCTTTATAGCAGTGTAAAAATGGACTGATATATGTGATTTTCTATTTTAACCAGTGTGTCATACTCTTGTTACTATCATTACTGACTTTTATGCTCAGATTGACCCAGATTTGGCCAGTAGGAGCCTTTCAAGCTGATTTTTGTGTCCTTTTGATGTTGCCATCATTCTTTGAGCATCTCTGCTTTTTGGCCTAGCCAAGATTTTCCAGGCTCATCCTGTACTTTTCCTACTTCCGCCCTGGATTCAGCCATTTATCCAAGGTGCCCTGGTTTCTTTTAGTGAAGAATGGTATATAGAAGTTAAGATTTGGGCTGCTCCTAGAGTGTCTTCACTTTCAGGTCATCTCAGTGGACAGAGCTAAGGAATATATAAATGTATACACTTAACAGACATTTATATCAGAACTTTTTTTTGTTTTTTGTTTTGTTTTGTTTTTTTGAGACGGAGTCTCGCTCTGTCGCCCAGGCTGGAGTGCCGTGATGCGATCTCGGCTCACTGCAAGCTCCACCTCCTGGGTTCACACCATTCTCCTGTCTCAGCCTCCTGAGTAGCTGGGATTACAGGTGCCTGCCACCACGCCCGGCTAATTTTTTGTACTTTTAGTAGAGATGGGGTTTCACCATGTTAGCCAGGATGGTCTCCATCTAATGACCTCATGATCCACCTGTCTCAGCCTCCCAAAGTGCTGTGTTTACAGGTATGAGCCCCCATGCCCGGCCCTACGTATTCAATAATAGATACTTAGTATTAAAAATTATAGTTCATATAGGTGCTTCCAGTTCATCAGTACCACAGGACTTAGTCTAGGCTTCTCCTTTTCCATACCTGTGACTCTTCTCCAGAAGTGAGAAACTTGGTTTTCATTGTTCATAATACTTTTATTTATTTGATCAGTCTCCTAGTATGAAAACCAATACTGTGTCACAGCCTTTTCCTTCCTCTCAGGCTCTGGCATGACACACAAAGCTTCTCCACAGGGACACCTTTCTCACCATGTTTCAACTCCAGTGGTCTGTGCTAAGCCTCCCTGCTTCCTTCACCGTAGGGACCTCTTTCTCACCCTCCTTGGACCCCGGCATCCTACTTTTGACCCCCAACCCAGTCCCTACAATGGATACTGTTTTCACACCCTTGGGCTGTGATACTTTGTGCTGAGCGGCTCTCCCATGTGAGATGCTGTCCTGACCCTGCGCACATATTCCAGCTCTGTACAAGGTTCCCTTGGGAGTACCCTGCCTTCCTCACCCCACTTGGTCTTTGATGCCGTTCTAAACTGACCCTACATGAGTATATATTCTTCATCCTACATTGGGATCTCTTCTGCACAGAAACATTGCTAACCCTGCTCAGGCTCAACACTTGTCAGGGTACCTTCTCATGCACATGTCCTCTTAACTCTCCATGGGTTCCAACACCCTATGTCAGTTCCACGTGGTCATGTGGATACCTCCTATTCTCAGTCAGACTCCAGTACCCTGCTCTGGCACCATGTCTTTC